CTCAGGAAGGCTCCGCGTGCCATCTGTGGCACACTTGCCATAGGTTCGCCATCATGGGCCTAGGACATCTCATGTACCCTCGCCAGAAAAAATGATGGCCTATTGAGGTAGTCTCATCACAACTAAGGGATATTATAGTGAGACACATCTGCACATTTTAGCTGACTCAGCCATTGTGTTCCAATAGAACATGGAACCAGAATGCTTTAGCATTCTCAATGATTAGGAATGAGCAATCATGCTGATACACATAGCTCAATCCCATTCACTTGGTTCCTTATACCAAGTAGGATACCCAAACAAAGCAGAAATCTCCATCAGTTCTTCATTTAGAATTACAGGTAGTCCTTGACTTATAACAGTTCACTTAGTGACTGTTCAAAGTTGCAACAGCACTGAAAAAAGTGACTTATGTCCATTTTTCACACTTACGGCCATCGCAGCATCCCCATGGTCATGTGATCAAAATTCAGGTGCTTGACAACTGATTACATTTATGACTGTTGCAGTGTCCTGGGATCAACTTTCTGCAACTTTCTGTCAAGCAAAGTCAATGGGGAAACCAGATTCACTTAACAACCGTGTTACTAATTTAACAACTGCAGTGATTCACAAAAGTGGCAGGAAAGTCATAAAATGGGGCAAAACTCACTTAACAAATGTCTCACTTAGCAACCTAAACATTGGGCTCAATTGTGATCATAAGTCGAGGGCTACCTGTAATGACAGGCAGAAAAAGGGATGTAATTTATTTTTCTCCCAAAAATAATTTTGCTGCCCATCCTTCCCTACAAAGTTCTAGTGGGAAACAAACGTCTCACTTGGCAACATAAATTGTGGTGGACTCAATTGTGGTCATAAGTCAAGGACTAGCTGTTTTTTATCTTATTCTGCACTCTACCATCACAATCCTGTCTTCAGATAATAAAAATACAAGCAAGAAACATCCCAGGAGCCAAAGAAATTACTTCCAACCCAGCAATGATGTCAAGCCAGCAATGGATTATTGTCTTCACAGGCTAGGAAAGATGTTGAAGAGTTGAATGCGCAGCTATGTAAAAGCTCAATTCTTTATTAAGAAGAAATTAGGTCTGATCAAGGCCAACTGGGCTTGGGCAGAGGCAGAGATTTCAGGTGCGTGGGCATAGGCATAGTCCAGATCTTCCAACAACCACACCTGGCTGCAATTTGTCCTGACTTCCAAATTTGTTACTACTTTGGATGATGGTTTCATGTCAGTTTGCTTTTGTGTTCTAAACAGGGTCAAGGTTTATGTAGTCAGCGTTAGGCTGATACATTTGTGTAGCAACGACGTAGATCATGAATTACCTCTTATCTGACAAGGATGCACACATGAAAAGATGGTGATCTTATCTGTATAATCAAAGCCCCCTTCTTTTTGTATAAACATCAGTGTTGCACACATGTAGAGACAGGGTTTCAATTATACAGCCATGATCGCCATCTTCATTGGGGGGGGACGGGGGACAACATCTACCAGCAGACACTTTTGGCAATCACTAAATTAAATTATTGACTAAATTTGAGAAAGTGTAGTAAGACTGCAGGAATCCTTGCGACTCTTTTACATATAAGGTAAAGGTAAAGGTTCCCCTCACACATATGTGCTAGTCGTTCCCAACTCTAGGGGGTGGTGCTTATCTCCATTTCAAAGCCGAAGAGCCAGCCTGTTCGAAGACGTCTCTATGGTCATGTGGACGGCATGACTAAAAGATGAAGGCGCACGTAATGCTGTGACTTTCCCACCAAAGGTGGTTCCTATTTTTCTACTTGCATTTTTACAAACTTTCAAATGGCTAGGTTGGCAGAAGCTGGGACAAGTAATGGGAGCTCACTCTGTTACACGGCGCTTGGGATTTGAACCGTCAAACTGCCAACCTTTCTGATTGACATCTCAGCATCTTAGCCACTGTGTCCCTTTCTTTTACATATAGTTATTTAAATATAACAATCTTCATTCTTTTGCATATTTTTTTCTGTATAACTGCCATTTATTTTCCTCCCACTGCTATGAGATGAATTCTAGATAAACATTAAGAAAGTGTATCTTGCTATTTTAAAAAAAAAAAATTACTTCCAGGTACACGTGTCTAGAACTGTAGTCTTAAGTTATTTGTTTACACATGCTTTGCTGGAACCCAGCCTTAGAGGAGATTTGCATGGTGTTTATACCCACCAAAAAGAAAACTAGGAATCTTGGAAAAGAAGCATAATGTAATTCAAAGGTGGGTTGATTTACTGCTGGGTACGTGCCAGCTGTGGCATGAATCAGATGTACCCAAGGAAGCACATGTTCACACTTGTGGCAGCTCTCCCAGCCGCAGGGCAAAGAAAGAAGGGAGAGCTGAGCAATTCCTTTCTACTTTACAAAATAAAATGCAACTCCTGGAAGGAAGGAAGTTGTAAAAAGATGAGTACAGAAGAAGTCTGTAGTTCAGACACAGTCACGTCAATCCCAAACAGCATTGTCATGTCTTGTTTTATTTCACATAAAATGGGAGAGCAGATGGTTTCAACTTTGCTCATGAAACAAAATACAGGAATTCCTTGAAGGCTGCATTATGATGATTAAAGAATAGAAGTTTGCAGCTATTTCCTTGAATTTTTCTTTTATATCTAACAACATAGGTATGGGACTGACTTCTGAAATGGAAATCAATGGTTTTAAGTGAGTTGTTCTCTGTGTTGCCTTAACCACATTTAGCTATCCTTAGAATAATAATACTGAACTACCTTACAAGACTGCTTGAAGTGTAAGAAGGCAGCGAAAGAAAATACACTAAAAGCTACAAGATAATGGAAAAATTTGCTAAAATTTGCTAAAAACTCTACTACTAAAGTGCTGACCCCCCCTTCTCCAAAACCCCAACTTTCAAATGCACAGAAATTAAACCACATAATTGCTGTTGGTTTAGTACTTCTTGGCATAATAGCATGGTCTACATCTGAAGGTAGCACAGATATCATTTCAGTTCTGCTTCTTCTGCTTTCTCCAGTGCAAAACAGATTTTAAGCACAGATATTGGACCCATGCTCTTCAAATACCTCTTCCCCTTAAATGCCAAATTCTCAAAACAGACTGGTATAATGACTGTGGTGTCTGACTTTGGAGCAGTAATTCTAATGGGCATCAATCTGGTTTCTTTGGCAGGTCATTTTTTTTTTAACAGGTTGGGCTTTTTATAACTTGCACAAGAACAAGCATGACAGTATGGATTTTGTTGGGTGTCTCCTGAATTGCTGGCCTTCCCAATTTTGGATTCCCTTTCTGGATGAAGAGCCTTGTCCTGCCCTTGCATCTGCAGAAAAACAGGAAGTTAAGGGCAATACCCAAGGCAGAGGGCTTAGCCCTGCTCTGGGTTGGCGTTGCAAGAATTGTATGCAGTAAAAGATGCATAAAATGGAAAGGTTTCCCCTTCATTCTTCAAAGATACATTCAGAATGGACATGCTAAGTCTCCAGGGTTTTTTTTTTAATCTGACAAACTACTCTTGGTTGTTTTTACACTGCCCTTCTGCAACGCTGTGACTATATTTATTATTTATTTATTTATTTTGTCACTCATGTACAAGATAACAGGGATAAGAATAAACATGAATAAGAAAACAGGAAATGGGTACAAGTAAATGGGGACAGTATGACAGGGAGGTTAGTCACGCCAGTGCACTTATGCACCCCCCTACTGACCTCTTAGGAATGGGGTGAGGTCCACAGTAATCGGTTTAAGGTTAAAGTTATGGGGGTTTGAGGATGTAGCAATAGAGTCAGGTAGTGCATTTCAAGTATTGACCACTCTGTTGATGAAGTCACATTTTCTGCAATTGAGTTTGTATCTATCAACTTGTGTATTTGTGTATTCTTTGGTTGGAGGGGGGGGGGGAGGTAGAGTTGTAAATGTCCCCTTTTGTTGCAAGGCCACCCCTACCCCCACCAAACATTCTTTGCAATCAGGAATGAAGAATACACAGCACAGTGGACAGACCGTTCCTATTTATGGTTGTCTTCTAAATAAAGCCCGTTGCACAGCCCCCTTTGAAAGGTCTCCTTGATGTATAAATCCCAGCAACTTTCAACCAGGTAGGACTTTCCAGATTGCTTGAACCGCAGAACAAGCGGGGCTTTTCACACGAAGAGTTCCGTTCGGACATTTTGATTTCTTGCCATCCGTTTTGCCCCGCTTCCTGAAGTTCATTTGGTCCTGGCCAAAATCAGTCCCAGCTAACAGGTGTCTGGTGTGTGTGTGTGTGTGTGTTTCCCACTCCCCTTTTTCTTGACTTGTTCTAAGTCAAAACAGCCGCGCGCGGTCTCCCGCCGATCAAACTACAGCCGATTTCGGGTGGCAGAGGAAGAGATCGGCGCAGCACACCGGCGGAAGTGAGCCCGGTTCGCACCCACCTCCTGCTGCCCTCCACACACCTCCATCCTCCGGCGCGGCAGCACAACAAGCCTTATAGGCGCAAACTTCCAAAAGCTATGCCTCCGGCTACGTTGCTCCGCAACAAGCCCGGGCGGAGCAACCCCCGACGCCCCTCTCTCGCCACGGAGTCACAACCCCCCCCCAAAAAGCGATCGAGCGACCATCAGCCCCGAGGGAACAAAACTCAGCAGATTCTTCCCGCCGGATCCCACCTGCAGGGCTTGCGCGCGCTTTCTTTACCGCGATCCCAGCAGTTGTTGCTTTTATTGATTTATAAATTGGTGGATTCCACTTCAAAAAATCGGCACTTGCACCGGTCAATCAAGTGACTCCCCCCTCCCCGATCCTCCAAAGAGCAGATCGAGAGCACCCGGCGGATCGAGAGCCCCGGCTACACCCCCACCCACCCCCCAAGCGAGTCCACAGCGCCGCATGGCTTGGACAGGCCGATCTCCCCGATCCCACCTCCCTCCCCAGCTGCCCCGATCCTTCCACAAGCCCCCGGAGTCCCTCGCTTCGTCGGAATTCCTCTCGACCGCGCCCCGGAAAAAGGACAACTTACAGCCTCTTGTTGGGGTTCAGCTGCTGATGCATGGCGAGGGAGAATCCGAAAAGGCTGCCGGGCTCGCCGCCCCATTTGACGACGTTGTCAGTGTCCAGGTTGAAGGCGCGGGCGATTCCAGCCCAGAGGCACAGGTAGAAAAGCGAAAGCATTTTCCCTCCCGAAGAGCCGGTGCCCGCCGATCCTGCCGCCGCCGCCGTTGCTGCTCCGCCCGCCGGAATCCCCAGGAAAGCCAGTCTCAGGGGGCGCCCCTCGCCCTGCTGGCCACGGATCGGCGCCGCTCCTCTTGCGGCCGCTCTGAATGGGCTCCTTGTTCTCTCCAGAGATTTGCTCGGGCTTTACACCAAGTGACGAACAACAAGCCAGGAGCCCCGCCCCGTCTCTCCCCAACCAGGCAGGAGTGCCTCGCCTTGCCCTACCCTGCCCAGCCTGCCAGCTGCCTGTTGCCCAGAAAAAGGACTCGCACCAACTATAAAGCGCCCAGGGCCACAGGCTTTTCAGTTTGGGAGGGAGCAGCGTTTACGTGAGGTCAGAACGTGTGAAGGCCATCACTGTGATTCATGGAGCCTTGCCTATCCGGGTAGCTGTGGGGTTGGTCAGTTCTAGGGCTGGCACCGGGTTTGTGGGCGGTTGAGTGCAGCCTCTGCCTCACGCAAGAAAAATTGGAGCTGAGGTATCCCAGGATTTCTTCAGATATCCCTTGTGGAATGGAAAATGGGTGAGGGTGCTTTTTGACTGTGAGAATTCAGCTGTTCATGTTCCCCTGTGAACATTTCAACTGGGTGAAATCGCACACCCTTTAATTATTCTATTAAAGCCGGACAAATTGCAGATTGCTCAGGCGACAGTACAAGACAGAGGTGGTATTCAGCAGGTTCTGACAAGTTCTGGAGAACCGGTAGCGGAAATTTGGAGTAGTTGGGAGAACGGGTAAATACCACCTCTGACTGGCCACGCACCATCTATTCTCTGCCTCCTGGTGATTTTGCAGAGTGGGTGGGAATGGAGATTTTGCAGTATCCTTCCCCCAGGAGTGGGGAGGGAATGGGGATTTTGCAGTAACCTTCTGGAGTGGGGAGGGAATGGAGATTTTACAGTATTCTTTCCCTGCCGTGCCCACCAAGCCACACTAAGTCCACCAAGCCATCCGTAGTAAAAAAAAAATTGAATCTCACCACTGGTGCAAGATCGTAGGATAGGACTCTGGGCCTGAAAAACTGGCTCCCAAGCTTCCAATTAGAGTTCCAGTGGTGATATCTGTTATTGCTGGTAAGGTTTGAATTCGTTATCTGAATTGCAATGTTGGAAACATCATAAAAAGTTCTCAGAACGTTTATTCAAGATACTTTTTTGAGCAGTTGGCCGTGAATATGGAATCTGTGGGAAAAGAGTGAAGAGGCTAGTCAAATATTGCTAGATATGACAAGGCTGAGAATGCTCTCAGAGCTCAAACACTCAAAGTGCTCTTAGAGATAGCTGAAGTGCTCACAGAAGATGAACACTTGTTCTATGCTGGATGCAAAGGGTTTACGTTTCATTGGAGGTTTAGCACATTAGGAACAGTTTCTTGATGGTAAAGACAGCGTGACAATGGAGCCATAAACCTACATTTAGGCAAGAAAAACAAAATGCACAGGTACAGTATAGGTGGTACCTTGCTCAATAATAGTAA